ATGGCTTGGATACAGAACTGGGTTCCAATTCTGACTCAATCACTTCCTAGCTGTGTATCTATAACTGTGGGCAGGTAACTTCACTTTTCTTAATCTCAGTTCCTTTATTTGCAAGATCAGCCTAAACTACCTCACAGGGTTGTGAGAAGAAGTACACACCAAGCACCTCTGCCATTTACCTGCTGACTTGGGCAAATGCGTAGGCCTCATTTTTCTTATCTCTAAAGTGGAGATAATAACATCTCCCGTGCGAGGCTGATGTGACTGTTAGGGATAGCATCCCATACATAACGCCACCTTCTCTAGGATTCTATAGTCTATCCCCAGCCAGACCACTGATCCCTCCTACATTTGAACTCAAAAAGCCCTGGAATTCCACCAACCTGTGAATATAGAGCACGGATTTTACTGAAATCTTGCCCTTCAGCTTTCCTCCATCTCCACAGTCTCAAGGTAGGAGTACTTCACAGTCCCCAAAACTAGTACTTATTTGGCAATCCAATTCACCACCCTCTGCCTCAATTTCGCCAGCTATAAAACAGAGATTCCACCTTCTTCATCCAGGGAAGTTGGCTAGGAAGAGTGGCTACCTCTGTGTTTCCTCTGCGTCTTTCTGCCATAGCACTTACTACACTGAATTGTGGTTATCTGTGTTATGCCTACTGCCTGCGCTATATTTCAATGAACTCTTTGAGGGCAGGGATTGTGCCCAGAGTCAAGTCTGGAGCCTGGTACTTGGTAGACACTCAGCATTTGTTTAATTGAATAGCTTTTACTATTAGTTCATTACAGGGATTTGTGTATATAAACCTTTCTAATAATTTCTAGATTGTGAGCTCCTTGAGGGAAGAGACCATGTATATTGGATTCAGATTAGCCAGTTTCTCTTCCCCAATCTCCATGTCAGTTTTCATAGAATTTTACCACTATCCGAAATTATCTTCTCACTTATTTGTTGATTGTTTATTAACCCCTAGCTAGACTATAAGCTCCAAGAGAGCAAGGATCTTGACATCTTTAATATTCTTATTCCCATATCTAAAACTGGCAGATAGCAAACACAGGCGCGCGCACACACACACACGCAAGTATATATAGAATGAGTGAATCTCAGCTTTGCTACATTAGATATGTACCCTTGAGCAAGTTAGTTGAGCAAGTTTGTTGAAGAGTCTGGTACAGGGTCCCTTGCAGAGGCAAAAAGATAGCCGTGTTTTCCCACTCACAGATATTCAAGACAGTGAATCATGAATCCGTTACCTCCCATCTACGTATTCTCCGATATATTTGCTCCCCGTGTACTGCATGGCGCCTGCTTCTAGCTTTCAGCCCTTCCTCGGGATCTCGGAGTATCAGTGTATACAGCCTCACTATGACAACCAAGGGGGTGGGCGGAGCCAAAGCGAAGCCCCGCCCCCGGGGAGTCGGCAGAACGTCCTAGCATTGCGCATGCTCCGTCGCTGCAGTGGGGCAGAGCAGTGCGCCTGCGTGCCGCCGGCTGCGCAGGCGCAGGCGC